CCACAAAAATGGCAAGTGGGCTGATATAAAGGACTTAATTGTGAATTATAGCTGTTAGGTAAAACTTTGTCAGAAGTTGATAAATGCATTGCTTGTATTACTGCTGAATCAGATACCTGAAAAGCATATTGACAAATATAAACATACCTTTGTCTTAAAATGGTAAGATGTTACTAATGTAATATTTTACATTAAAATTCCTAATTTCTGAGAAAGCGAGACTGATGCAGAATACATAAAATTTATAATAAAGTATGTATCTCTCAGAGAAATAAACAGCTATGTTGACGTATGACTAGGCCAAGTTTTCTTTAAATACTTGAACAACATGTTACATACGTTGAATAATATATGATACATTAATATGAACCAAATTACAGTTTAGTATTAGGTATGAATCTAAATCCTGCCCACCTAGCAGTCTGAAAGCATGCAAATGTGAGTCCATAAATAGGTAGGAAATTTCCGTGCACCTCAGCATATAGTCATGCTGGTCAGATGACCACGGAAATTTCTTCAGACAACGCTGGCTCCCTTGGCCCAGGAACAGAGATGAGCACCGCCTAGTACAGTCGGACACGACTGGATAGGGGAAACCATATTTATCTTTAGAATTAGACACTAACTTGGAATAATATAGTTTATTACAATTAACAATTATATTAATGATGACAATAAGACAGAGGAAAAATATTACTGGAAACTTACAGGATTTATTTTCTTTGTAGAAGATAGCAAATTATTCATTACTTTGAAATTCCCTATAATACAGAATGAAAATGTTTAGAATAAAATAATTTAACAGATTAAATATATTTTATTTATTAATTCAATTTGATATAGTTTTCCAGTAGAAGTAGTTCTAAATTCAAAAATTAATCACCAAGGAAACAAGATACTTATAATCAACAGTGGACTTCAACTCAAGGGAACATGAAACCATTAGTTATCCTTCATTTAGCAACTGCTTTATTCAACACCATTTGCAGTTACAATAGTGATGAAAAAGCAACTTTTTAGTCCTTGCATTTATCATATAACCTTCATACGTCTTTAAAGCAAAGTTGAAATAAGTTAATAACCAGTTTGATCCAATGACCATTGGGCTTAATGAACAAGTTGCCAATCCTAATTCTGGTTGGTAAAAGAACTACCTGTAATTTTTTTTAACATATAAATGATCCATATTCTCAGAACATCCAAGGAAACAATTATAAAAATTTATAATTTATAAAAATAAAAACATTATTCCCAATATTTGCAGATAAAAAGTGAATACAAGATATAGCACACCACTTTGTCCTTTATTCCAATTAACTGGTTTCCTTACCAAAATGTACATACCTTCTGGATCATTGAGCTTTGACCCGGGAGATTGGAAAGGTGAGAGGTGGTTGACAAACTCCAGAGAATTTGCTGGAGGACCTTTACATGATAAAAGAAGAAAATTATCCAATTTTACAAAAGGTAAACAATTTTTAGAACCAAACACTTATAAATGAAATTAACCAAAAGATATCAATCCCATTATTCAAGACCCCACAAGATAAAATGACAAAAGGAAGCACATGAGAATACAATGCCACAAAGTACATTAAATTTAAGGGTTGTTTTTCCTCACCTTTCATTCCCACTCCAGCTGTATTTAATGAAACAGTTTTGTGATCATAGCCATCATGGATGTTTTCAACTGAATCATTCCAATTTGCAGCAAATAATTTTGCCTGTTCACAAATTGAAAAATTGTTGAGCAATGGTGGTACTTTATCATCAACAAGTACAATATTTTTGAAGTTAGGGCTTGTGCTGGGACTTCTCAATGACTGATTTGGACTTTTCAGATCCTTTATCTGAAGCCTTTGTTCCATTTTTCACACATCTATATTAGAATCATTTCCTTACAATTTCATGGATAATTTAATAGCTAGGAAAGCAAAATAAAATACATTAGCTAAACAATTAATAAACAATCCTCAACATAATTTCGATATTTACATGTTTTTCTATTAAGCATGAAACACATGCTAAATCATCCAACCCCTCAGAATGTGGCATAATATTTGTTAACAATACTTCAAAATGCAAAGGAACAATTAAGTTTTGAAAAATATTTTCAAACGGGAATCGTGCTTTGAACCAACCAAACAGATTTTCTAAATTTAGTTTCTCATATTCCTTTTCATTAAAAAAAATGAAAAAAGTAATTGAGCAAATTTAAATCACTTCTAGCACACAGAAGAGGTCTGATAGCACCTTTTCCACTAATACATGTTATTAAAAGGTTAGAACTGTAGTAAGCTGCAGCTCATTTTATCAGATGCATAGAAGGGTTAGACTGATTAGGATTTAAACTGGGATGAGTAGAAGGGAAGAAGAGGAAAGGATAGGTTGGGCATACAGGTTACCCAAGAGATAGTTTAGTTTCATATGTTAATTACAAAGCTGGTAACAGATATGATTTTTTCACAAGCTTTCTTCCTATAATTTATTTCAATATACAAATTCTTCAAAGAAAACCAGTCTGTAAAGCCGTTTTGTTTTAAAGTTTAAAGAACCACAGTACCATGATATCTGCCTCAAATTTTAAACACATACAAGTAATCTCATAATATTGCCACATGGGTATATTTCAAGTGAAATTTAGAAATCCAAAAAAAATAATCCTGTTACCTATGGTGCTTTCAGATTTGTGTTTACCATACTAAGGCAGTAGTAGTATAGTATCATATTAATGCAGCAGTGAAATCGCTTAGCCACACAAATTCAATTTATGTAAATATTGGCAAAATACACCAAAATACTGTATAAGCCAACTTAAAAAAAACAAAACATAACGCACAGCGTTTGGAAAAACGACAGGCCTCTCCTCTAATAGGAAACATGATTTACAATACTCCCATTACTCGTAGAATTAAAACTCTTAGTAATAACAACAAACAGGTTTCATGGCTATGGTTCAGTCTATTCTTTTTCAAGAATTTAATGCTAATGTTGCACCTTGGCTAAAACAAATCCTATTGCATGAAATTAAAATAAGGAACCAAACCTAGTGCTATTCGGGCTAGCATTCCTTCCCCTGGTCTATCTACCACATCAACACTCCTCTACCTCTTTTTCCTTTGTAGTACGAGGGTATCCAACAGCCCAGGAAAAACCACGCTCGCACCCTAGATTATATCCTTGGAAAGCTTGGAAGGACCCAGGAATTGAGGCCACTCAACTCGTTATTAATGGCGCAGAGTGAGAAGGGAAGCGAATTCACACACAATGCCTTAAATCACAATTGGCCGCAAAACCCGCAACTTTTACAACAAACCTTACATTCCCAACAAGGCGCTATTGCAGTCCAAAAGTAAAGGGCGAAACATCTAAAACCCGCATTGAAGGGACTTAGCAATTTGTGGCTCAATCTGGGGCTAAAGCATGAGGGGGGTTTATTCGCCAGGGGTCCTGGGCGACTCAACCTGCAACCGGCCACCTGAAGGTGAAGTGGAAGCCAAAGGGTGGGAGCTTACATTTGATATTTTAGAAGCAGAACCCGCCACTCTCCCCACGTACTATATAGATATCAAGGGCCGCGGGGTCTCTTCAACAGGATCTTCGGCTATTTACTCCGAACGAAACGGGGCTTCGTTCCAGACGTTCAACCTCGTCTCCTCTCCACACCGCGTGATCGCCAGAGCGCATGCGCCACCTATTCAACCGTCGGACAAGGAGCTTCTGAAGACGGGGCGGGGGGAGGGGGGCGTATTGCCTGCGTTGAGCTGCGTGTTTGCAAGCTGTGTTGTTTTCTTCTTTAAATTTCCTCAATGATGCAAAGCTTTTTCATATTGGCTCCGTTGGTGCCTAGACTGTACGGTAGTTGTGCCTTACCTTTACATATTTCCCTACACGAGATTTGGACATCCCATCTCATTACCTGTGCCTAAAATTCTCGTACACTACAATAGTACAATGATACTGATTTTAGGTATTTGTCAAATCTAAAGTATGAGTGCTGCGTATAGGTTGCATTGAACTTGTGTAATTATTTGAGTGCTGGCAATTATTTCTTAGGAAGCAAGGCCTGTTTGGTTCCTGGCATTTGACCTCCTTTAGTAATTGCAATGCCAAAGTAATCTGTTTCGGTTACTCAAATAGTCCCATATCTGAGCCCAGTAGTTTAAATACTATATTCTTCATTTAAAAAAAAAACACTATCCAAAACAACTTTTTTCCTAAGAAAGTTGTGCTTGCAGTGTTCTTGCAGAATTTGAAACTCAATTGACCTTTTAATCAACTTGCTAGACTGCAATTTATTGAAGTAATCCAACGTTTTAGATTCATGCAACATAGCAAACTACAAACTAGTCAACTACATTTGAACCTATTGTGTTTTACTAACCCAACTAGGAGAGTTAGTTTATGGTTTGGTGGGCTGAATGAATCCACAAATAATAGCCAAATTAAATAACCATTAACTAGCCACATGACGCTGAATCCCAAACTAGTTAACCTCATTGTACCCTAACATGAATTTTGATTTCATCCAGTATGATAGATATGCCATGAAAACCTAGAAAATAATGGTAATTCAGTAATTATGATACAGTCAATGTCAT